GAACCCCTGGTCTGAGCCTTCACTGATGGCATCAAGATCTGGGCCTGGGTTCTTTAGGGGCAACACTAAACTCATTGCCTCTGGGAGGAAGGGCATGGCCACCAGGAGCCCCAGGGAAAGTGCATAAGTCAGAGGAGCGGAGACCCGCCCTCGGCTGCCCGGGCCTGTCCCCTCCCGGCTTCTTACACCGAATGGGCTTCTTACACCAAATCGCAGCACCAGCCCCGGGAGTTCTGAGCCTGCCCAGCCCTTCCACAGTCAAGGGCCGAGTCAGGGAAGCAGGTTTTGGACAAGAGAAGAGCGAGCACCTTCTCACGTGCTGGATTGTTTGTCTTATCTTTACAGACAGCTTTATCGAGGTCTAATCCACTGATATGCAATGAACTGCGCATATTTAGAGAGTGCAATTCCATACGTTTTGACGGAGACACACACCTAGGAAACCTGCACCATCATCAAGGTAACAAGTGGCCCCACCCACCGGATTCCTGGTGTCTGTGGGGGGTCCTCCCCCAGGCTGCTCCTGGCCCCCACCCCAGGCCACCCCTGGCCTGCTCTCCATTACTGTGTGTTATGTGGAATTTCCCATAAATGGGTCATGCCCTGTGTACTCCTTTTACAGCTGCTTTCTCTCACTCAGCACCGTGATGTTGAGATTCATCCGTGTTGTAGCATTGACCAGTAGTTTAACCTTGAATTCTGGACAAGCCTCCCTGGTCAGGGTATATGATCCTTCGTTGTAGGTTGTTGAATTCCATTTGCTACAATTTTGTTTGAGTTTTTGTGTCTATATGTGCATGAGGTCTGTAGTTTTCTTCCTTCCTTTTTCCTTCCTTCCTTCCTTCCTTCCTTCCTTCCTTCCTTCCTCCCTCCCCCCCTTCCTCTCTCTCTGTCTCTCTCTGTCTCTCTCTCTCTTTCTTCCTTTCTTCTTTTCAGTAATATCAAGGTAATACTGGTCTCATATAAGTTGGGAAATATTCACTCTTTCTCAATAATCTAGAAGAGTTTTTTTTTTTAAATGATGAATATTATTTCTTCTTGCGTTTGGTAGAATTCACACTGACGACATCTGGGCCTGGAATTTTCTCTGAGGGAAGGTTTTTCAAAGTAAATGCTATTTCTTTAACAGACAAAGGCCCTGAACAGATAAACAGTTAATAGATAAACCAATTCAGTTTATCTATTCCTTCTTGAGAGAACTTTGATCATTTGTGTCAATCAAGGAATTTGTGCATTTAATCTGAATTGTCTAATTTATGTGCATAAAGTTGTTCATACTATTCCCTTATAATCCTTTTCATATTTGTGGAGTCTGTGGATATCATTTCTCTTGTTCCTGATTTTGTATTTAATTCTGGAATGAAATTCACAACATGTGACTATTACCTACACACAATGTATAACAAATACGTTTCAAAAAGAAATTTCCTGGTGCTGTAAATGCCCACATTAAAGAACCAATTTGCTTCAAGTATGTTACATTATTTTTTTAAAAACATGTAAGCATTGTTTCTTAATTTCTAAAATAAAATAATAATTCATTATGAAATTTAATTAAGAATCAGACTTTGGCTAATTGTAAAGTCAGTTTTTAAGAATAAATTAAGCCCTGGCCAGCGTGATCAGTGGTTAGAGCACAGGCCTGAGCAGGAAAGGGTTTTGGGTTCGATTCCCAGTCAAGGGCACATACCTGGGTTGCAGGTTCGATCCCTGGCCCCCACTGGGGCTCATGTGGGAGGCAACCAATCCATATGTTTCTTTCATATTGATATTTCTCTCTCTCTCTCTCTCTCTCTCTCTCTCTCTCTCTCCCCTTCTTCCCCCTTCCTTTCACTCTCTCTAAAAAAATTAATGGGATAAAAAATATCCTCTGGTGAGGATAGTAAAACAAAGAATAAAAAACAAAGAATAAATTAAAAAATGAAGAAGCAATCAGGAAAGTTAACAAAGCCAGTTATGCCTTATTGGGAACATCTAATACCAAAACTCATCCCCACTGAGATAAAGGAAAAAAAATACATTTCTGGTGATAGAATGAAAATTGTGCAAAATAAAAAGCAAATCAAAAGTAAAAGTAAATATTTTTAAATCTTTGCAAAACAAAGAAATTCACTGATAAACAGTGGGCCACTGAGGTCGTAACCTGACTCTGAGATGATGGGAGGAGGTCAGGGTGCTGGCATTGGGTGAAGCCCAGGGGTGCTCTCCGGAGGAGGGGCTGCACGGAGGTGTGAGGTGCCAGGATGGTCATGACGGAGGGGAGGAAGTTTATGGAGCTGCTGTCTGGTCTGGATTCTTCCCTAAGAAAAGGCGTCACTGGAAGGGGTGTGGGGTCCCCCGAGGATGACCGCGGGGCAGCCGCCACCTTGGTTGCAGTTTGCAGACAAGACCAAGGCTGAGGGAGAGAGAGGTGGGGAGAGGTATAGGTCGCCAACGGTCAAGGCGTTTCCTCTCTACACGTGGACAGAGGGAAATACCTCAAGAGCAGGGGTGGATAGCAAAGCGGAGCACAGTGAGGAGGTGGTATGTTTTAAATATTTACTATCTTTGTTTTAATAGAATTTACTTGTAAGTTTATATAATTTACTTTTTAAAATTTAAATTTATTGGGGGTGACACTGGTTAATAAGATTATATATTACTTTCAACAAAGGCTGTGCTAAACAACCAGTCTTTGAAATTACTGAATATGTGAGTCACCTCTCTCGAGGGGGGACAGGCCCTCATAGCTTCCTGGGAGGCCCTTTGCCGGCCACAGTTATACCCCCTCACCTCATGCCAGCTTCTTGGAAGCACCCATAGGTTGGTCCTTAGGTGGACCATACTGCCCATCTGAGACCCCCTGCCTCATGCCTCCCTCCCTCTTTCCACCTCTCCCCCTCCTTCCTTCCATCGGGAGCCTGGAGGGTTCTTTGTGCCCCAAAGCGCAGTGGCCCTTTCTCTGTGTTGCACCATTGCGCCCCTCTAACACTTTAAGTTATTTTGGCATCACAGGGAGAGAATTTGCTGGAACATGAACTTGAATGCATGAGCAATCATGCAGGGCAAATGGGAAACAGTATAGTGAGTGCAGAGGGCAGACAAGGCCTAGGTTAGATCCTGCCCCTGGTCACTGCTGTGCGACTTCAGGCAGGTTACTCAAGCTCTCTGAGCCTTGGACTCTTCATGTGGTAAAATGGCAACTGATAACTCCTAGGGTGCTTGTGAGGACTAAATGAGCTAAGAAATGCACTTGCGATAGTGTCTTGCACGTACTGAATGACCAACAACATAAGCCTTCCTTGCCTTGTCTTCTGCTTCAGTGTAGTGAGTCCATACATTTTCTGAGATACTGAAAGCAAAGATGATCACTGCCCGCCATCTGGTGGTCAAATCTATCCTTACACCCCAGGTTGTGCCCAGGTAGATAATTGTCCACTTGTGGCCTTGATCCATTAGAATCACCTGGGAATCTTTTTAAAATCCTGATTTCTGGGCCTCATCCTCTGGAAATTCTGTTTCTTTGTGATGGGGTGGGGCCACAACATTAGTAACAAAGAAACAGAATTTCCGGAAGATGAGGCCCAGAAATTAGGATTTTAAAAAGATTCCCAGGTGATTCTAATGTGCAGCCAAGGTTGAGAACCACTGGTAAGACGCTGCCTCCTCAGGAAAGAGGAGGATTTGACTGGACAGGCCTCTTCCCTCCCACCCTGTTCTGGACTCTTCAGAGCGAACTCCTGTCCCCGAAGCCTTGGGGGACCCTCACAGGGCTGATTAACAAAGCTGTCCCCACAGCAGCTGGGAGGGGCCCGCAGATGGTTAAGGGCCTTGGAGATGGGGTCTACTGTGAGGCCCTCTCCCTCCCATAGTAGTGTGTGTGTGTGGGGAGTGTATGTGCATGCGTGTGTGCGTGTGTGCGTGTGTGTGTGTGTGTGTATGTGTGTGTATGGGTGTGTGTGAGCCCTCACGTTTCCGGGTGAACGGCAGGCTCTCCATCCGGATTTTTAATCCCAGCTGTTACTATCCCCATGGTTCTGCTGTGTTCCTGTGGGTTCCCTACACCCTGGTCCTGCCCTGGACAGCAGTCCTACTGGGTGCCAGGCACTGCTCCGGGTGCTGGGGGACAGCAAGGACGTGGGGCTCCCGTTCTGGAGGGGGAGATGGCTGCCGAAGCCCTGATCCAGGGGTCTCCCTGGCTGGTGGCATCCCTGGGTCTCTGTCCTGCGCTGGGATCGGAGCACTGGGTGTGGACCCAGGAGCTCGGTCGGGCCCCAGGGTGGGTTAGAAGTCCCACTTCCTCCCACCAGTGTTTCCATGGTCACCAGGCCCGTGATGAGGCCTGAACCATTTCTGTCGTGGTCCCTGTGGCTGTGAATGTCCCTGTGGCCGTCCCAGTGCGTGCCCACGCTCCTTACATCACAGGTGTGCCCCCGAGTCCTCACAAGGCCCTGCGAGGCCCCGAGGACTGCTGTCAGCAGCACCCTGCCCCGTCCTCGGAGGAGTCGGACCAGAGAGGCCCAGTCCCCGGCCGGGCGTGTTCCTCCATTGGGCCCAGCGGCCTCCTGACTCAGTCCATCACCAGGAATCAAAGGTGACAGGACAGAGACGAGGAGAACAGGCCAGTTTCTGACCAGACATATGTATCCCATGGCTGGAGAGCTGGAGGAGTATTTTATCATGGATGCTTAGAATTTGGAAGGATTTTTAGTCGGTTTTGTCACAGTTTTTAAATTCTCTGCAGATCCCCTCCCCCTTATTGCTTGCAGGGGAGAGGAAGCCCTTTGTCCGGTGCCTGGCAAACAACAGCAGCCACACAATAATCATGGCGAAATCTCTCCTATCCTGCAAGGTCTGGCCAGGTGCCACCTCCTCCAGGATGGCCTACCTGATCTCCCTATAGGACAGCCCTTCTCTGGGCCCTTCAGAAAGGATGGGTAATGTCTGTGCCCAGTCTGTCTCTGCCCCCCTCGATGACACATTCCACCCGTGTCCCCAGCCTGGCTCCCAGGAGTTGTCAGTGAACACTTGCTGAGTGACTTGGGGGTGTCCTTGCTCCCAGACTCACAAACTCCCCAGGGACCCCCTGCGATCACTGCCTCATCTGCAGCCACATCTCCCACATGGATCCAGGCCCAAAGGGTTCCTCTGGACCTAGGAGGTTATCCCCAGGCTGATGTGGGCCAGGATTCTCCATTCCTGACTTGCAGATCCTGCCCATGGGGGCAGGGAAGGCCTAGCTGAATCACAGGGCCCCAGAGAAGTCAGGAAGGGGCCACTTCAGTGTGACCAGAAGGAGAGAGCAAATCCTGGGGGGGGGGATGGGCAGAGAAGAGCACCCAGGGGGATCGGGGCTCATGTGGGAGCAGAAAGAGAGCAGGTGCAGGCAAGGGGTCCCGGTCAGGGATGTGAACCCCTTGTGGGTGTAGGAGGTCTCCCTCAGTGAGGTGCTGGCTAAGATGCCCACTTCTCGGTGGCTGACATGCCC